TATCGTTATCAGAAGAACTGTTTGGTGATCTATACACGACGCCTATGAGGAGGCTATCTTTGCCTTTTAGATTAAGTTCGCACCACACTGATTCTCTAGCTGATTGATGTTCTGCAGATAACTTGACTTGCTGGGCCCCATAAGAGGTTCTAACCCACAAAGCTACACCTCTACTGCACTGCTCTTCATTTAAGTTATGAAAACAATCAAAACCTGGCAACTGAAATTCAACAGGTACAATTTTCCCCCCATGAATTTTAGGGAGTGTTTCTTGCAAGAATGTTAAGAGTGTTCCCTAGAGTTAAGAGTGCAAGAGTTAAGAGTTAAGAGAGTGCAAGAGTTAAGAGTGCAAGAGTGTTCCCTAAGTGTCTTGCAAGTGTTAGGGAGTGTTTCTAAGACCACACTTCTAACGAATCCAGCATTTCCAATGTTACAGATGTATAATGAATTTCTCATTTAATTTGCGAATAAATTAATTTTTCATTTTTTTTTAATATATAAAATTTTGTTTCAAAATTGTTTATTCTGTCAATTGATTCATGCATTGCCTCCGACTTCACACAAGTGTGCTAAATTTCAGATCAATTGGACTGGTAAAAGTGTGTCAAATATCAGTTAGGCTATAAGATAGTTTATAAGATTTGTGGCTGACAAAATTATTTTTTAAATTTTTTATATTAAAAAAAATAAATTTTGAAATCATTAACTTTATCATTTGATTCATGCATTGTCTCCAACATTACACATGTGTGCAAAATTTCAGATCGATAGGATAAGTAGAAGTGTGTTAAATTTCGATTATAAGATTTGTAGCAGACAGACAGACAAACAAACAAGAAGTGAAGTTAAAGAAAAGTGTTGTAAAAAGTTACATCTATCCTGTCAACTCGAAGTTCGCTGGTCCGTAAGTCGTTAGGCATTTTAAGACTGAGCATATGCTCCTGCATAGCTTCGTCTAGTCTGTTCTTTGAAGGCATTCGTTCATACTCGGAGCGTCAACGATGCTATCAGGGAGGCTGTTCCACATGTCGGTGACTCGAAGCGAGAAGAAATGTTGTCGCGTGGATGTGTTACAACATATTTTTTGTTTGTTTTAGTTTAGTTTTAGTTTATATTTATTATACTTTATTTAGTTTCGTATAGCCACACAATGCACGCCGATAAATTATAGCGGTGCAACTCTGCCAGCCACAAATCCATCAATAATGAACGGATTTTATTCAAATTTAGAAAATAAGTAGATAATATCAGTAATTTGAGGATGGAATTTTTTCAGATTTTTATATCAATTACTTTTTTTGTTAATGCGGAAAACCTAACTTCATTTTAAGCCATGCCAGCTATAAATCCATCAATAATGAACGGATTTTATTCAAATTTGAAAAATAAGTATATAATATCAATAATTTGTGGACGGATTTATTTCAGATTTTTACATCAATTACTTTTTATTAATACGGAAAACTGGTACATATACTTCACGTTCACCTCTCAGGTTAGGTCCTAGTTGTGTCGAATCGGTAGTTAGGTCACGTTTCAGTATTTTGTGGCATTAGAAAAAAAAGTGATTGATTTAAAAATCTGAAAAATTCCATCCACAAATTACTGATATTATCTACTTATTTTCCAAATTTGAATAAAATCCGTTCATTATTGATGGATTTATGACTGGCAGAGTTCAAAATGAAGTTAAGTTTTGCATTCGAGTGCGCAGGCCAGTTCGCACTCGAGTTCGCTGAAGTATCTTACCTGTCGCTGATTCTGATCATCGAAGAATTGTCGCAGCTTGTTACGGGTCGCGAACTCGCAACTCACTGTTCAAATATCCACTGTGCTTAACCCCCAATTCACTTCGCCGATTTTCATCGGAGCTGACCTACAAAACTGGGATCGAACCAGCAATTACCTGCTCCAATTTTGGCAATTTAAACAGTAACCACTGGGACACCCCACCAACATAGTCCAAGGACTTTGCTAGTTTGGTCACTACGTTACTATGTACACTGCGAGGGGTCGCCTGCCGAAGACCACAACTGCCCTGGATGTAATGGACCATCATGATTCCTGCCTTCCGGAACGTAGCATTCAGCACTTCAAGCCGTCCGTAACTAGGCCGTGGGTCGAACCAGCCCTCGGTCGAACGGCCACTTGTCGCAGGACGATAAATTTTGCAACAGAACTATGCTATCTGAAACCTAACCTCAGATGCGGTGAACGTAAAATTACGTAATTCAACGATACCCGGAAGTCAGATTCGATCCGCGGCCTGGTGGTGCACGCCAGCTGGTGGTCAAGGCCGGAGGAGGACAATGCCGAGTGGTGCACGGCTGATTGGTGGATATCCGGAGAGATCCAAGGCGTTCGATTCAGGGCTTATTGGTGCACAAAATTGGTGGTGCACGGCTGCGCTCCCCACTACGAGTGCGCATATTGCTTGGTGAGAGTGGCCTCACAATACACGAGTTGCGCTTTTTGACCAATGCATCAATGACCTTCCACTCAAATACCGAAGGACATTATTTGGCTTGATCAACACTGCTATTGCGAATATATGTAAGCAACACTATTACTATTGCACATACCCGCTCCAGCATCGAAACACATAGAATGAATAGCGTATGCCTCTTTTAAAAATTATCCGTGTGTCAATAAAAATACTTAACTCGGGTGCGACAAGTATTTAATTAAACGAGCTAGTACCACAATCTCCGCAATAATAATCTTTCAAATATTGGACGACTGTGGTAAATGTTAATCCGTATAATATTTGAAATAAGTTGTACTACAACTTGTGAGAAACTGACGCTCGTATAACTACTAGGGTGAAATGTATATCTAATACTTTTAATGTGTTCAGGTTTGCTTCTTACCTGAGTCAGGTTGGGTGATATGAAATCATCATCATGACAACATTGAACTGAAAAAAAAAACATGATTCGCAATAGCAATATGTTCCATCGCTAAGTAGGTATAGTTTCAAAGCTCAAACTGATTGGATCACGACATTTTACTAACTTTTGAAAATTCATTCACTACTCCCTGCTGTTTGGTAGATGCTATGAAGATCTAGTATTTACATTGAGGATAGAGTGCAGCTTTTTCATGACATTGTTGTGTTTTGGATTTGGGTTGGACGTTTATTCTGAATGGTGCTGACTGAGTGACTGTCGACCTGTAAACTCTTCACCTACTTTAGTTAGGTACTTATATCAAACAATGTGATTACTTTTAAATGCGTAGTAAGCTCTGTAGTGTTTTAGAAACTAATAACTGAATTTCTTCTTGTGCTTGGTTCGGTGGAGGTGACTCAGGTGAGTCATTACATTAAATTTAAATTATAAATATATTATTCCACATTTTTACACAGTGCTAATCTGCTAGACTGGCAAATGGCAAAGAACTTATCTTTTTTAAAGCCAGTTCATTTTCAATTTATTGATCTAGTTTAGAATTTTATTCAATATCTAGGTATAATGAAGCTGGCAATGCCTGGCATCAATGATACTTAGGGTAAACGCGGTATATTCCGACATCGTAGGTAATTCCGTCACTTCTCTAGTTTTTCCTTTATATTAAGCTTTGTTTTAGTTCCATGCGTTAAATAAATATGGCAACATTTTGTGACGTTTCATCGTTGCTGACGCGTAGTGAAGTGTTTTGAGAGTCATGTGAAGGCAACAGAACTTACGTAACGCATACGTTTTTTTTTTATAGTTTTTCATTTTTCGATGCGTCCTTAAAGTGTCGGAATATACCGCGTTTACCCTACTAACTTTAGTAACTTAGCTGGTTAACTCAGATGACCCTAGTCCCTAGACCTAGTCTAAGACTCTAAGCCTCTAGCTGTAAAATTAGGTAAAAGCCCTGGGCCCCTGTGGCAGCACTGCAGCAGGTCGGAAAAGTCCTACTTTTTCTGAAATATCACAGCTCTAATATCATAACATTTCAGTAGGAATTAAATCTCTCAGCTCTAATGTCATGTATTTTTGTTTAATTGAAAAAATAGGGGGTTTTCAATGCAATTGCAAACATGTTGGTTCATAAAATTTTTAATTTCTGCAATAAGCATTAGGGTAAACGCGGTATATTCCGACACATTAACCCATTAACGCCCAAATTTTTGATTTGTGAAATTTCTGTCTGAACACCTTCATATGGTGTAAATATTTCATATAAAACAGTTTTTGCACAATTTTAGCGGATATAATGAGAGTAGCAGTAGTTGAAAGGAAAAAGTCCCAAATGGGGATCATGGGCAAAAAAGTAATAAAAAATACCAATTATTTTTCGTCACCGTTCTTATTATTTCCAAATTTATGAAGTGAGTATGTGTTATTAGTGCCTCTTTCTAATGCTAAATGCACATTCCTTTATTTGTCACCACAAAATTAAAGAGATTACAGAAAGAAGTATTGCTCCTTTGAAACTAAATATAAGGAAGTAATAATTACCCTCAAAATGAGAGTAATTTCACTGATGCCATGCAAGGAAGCTTTCAACGTGTAGCCCAACGAATCACTTGGTACATTTCTTTCGGACATTTATTTTGCAAACGACGCAATTCCGTTGTCTTCAACATCTGTTCGCTGTAGAACATGCCCTGAATTACTTCTTCCAAAGTCGTCTATCACTCGCCGCTTTGATTCCTTACTGAATGATGGGCGACCTGACTTCTTAGGATCTGACAAAGATGATACTTGCACATATACCCATACTATTCTCCTCTTGAATTCCAGCAAGGGCATTTGTCCGTTTGCCTTGTAAAGCAGGAGTGGATTTATGACTGGCATATCAAGAAAGTTTGTGAAAAATGAAAAATACAATTTCTTTCCACGAACTTTTATCCTGTATTTATTGATGAGCCAATCCATTTTATTCACGCCACACATGTACTTGTAATCGGCGATGCACTTTAGTTGTTCTAATGAGACCTGGTCCTTCTTCTGCTTGTTCCATCTTTTCACTTTTTCACCTTGGTGATTTGACAACATCTTGACATCATTGTTGTCTTACCATACAACAGCAAAGATATTATGTTGTTGGGGGTCAGCCCCTCTAAAGGTCGACGGTCCGGCCGGTATAGTACCAGCACAGGGAACAGAATAAAAGCAAACTCAGGAGATCAAACAGAGGAAGAACCAGGCAACAATATATTAAATAGAATCAGTGGTACATGAAGGTGAAATATGATGGTTAGTAGGTTAGTGAAGATGGGACAGCCCAGGGCTATGAGTGATGGGGTGAACCTAGCATGAGAACATAAATAACCAGCAGCCCACACTGGTTTGAACAGTAAAGAATAAACAAGAATACACAGTAAATAAACTAAACTGGGCCAGAATAATGATCAGTATCCAAACTCTAATCAAGAATAATGAAGCTAAGGAATCAAGAGCTCAAAACAGGCCCTGGGTCAGGCCTGGTCCAACAAGTGGCGTCGGCACCAAAGAAACAAGATGGCGGTGGTCTTACTTGAGAGTAGCAGTGGGGTTACTGGGGTAGACTCAACTGGCACGTTAAGGCAGCTCGGACATGAGTTGCTGGACAGGACTTAAAGAGGCATCAACGCTGGCCTCTAGTGTCAGCTCGAGTAGCTCAAGAGCAGCCCAAGACTTGACTGCAATGTGGCTCAGTGAGCCCAAAGCTTGCCTGTCGCTCGTCCAGAACTGGTATCAAACTAGCTCAGTACTTGCCGGAATGCGCTCCAAATTGGTCCAGAATATGCCCCACATTGGCATGTTTTTGCAGTATTTCGACACGCAAATGTATGACGTCACCATTTCAACCATCAATGAACTCATGGAACTAAAACAAAGCTTAATATAAAGGAAAAGCTGGAGAGGTGACGGAATTACCTACGATGTCGGAATATACCGCGTTTACCCTACTTTAACACTCCTGCCAGAATATCCTGCAGAACGTAATAACAATAAGTCAACCCAAAACATTTCCTTGAAGATCGCACAGTTGCGGTCATGTCAGTCATCAGAGTGGTCAGAGTGGCGTCAGACTGCATTATCATGTGTTTAGTTCCCAACACATTTGGGGTAACACATGCATACAACTAAATAAATTGGTGGCTCATAAAGGCTTTTCATGTCCAAGATATGGAATTCAAGTCTTGATGTAAATCATGTAATGGAATCCCAGCTCAAAGAAATGGAATCACTGCTCAAAGAAATGGAATCACAACTGGCAAACACATACAACAACCAAGGCTCAAAAACTCCAGTCGCGGCTTGCCAAGTAGATATTGCATGCCTGTGTGGCAGGGCTTCTGCTCAACTTTCCAGTCCCAGATTTAGCCTTTTAGGCAGGGCCCCTGCCTAAATCTGACATAAATGCCTGCAAATCATACCAATTTCACTTGTTCATACTTCATATGGCCTTTTCCTAATTTATTAAGTGAAAAAACAATAAAAAGATCTTATTTTTACCTGCAATTTTTGGAAATCACATGTGAATGTTAAATAATCATTTTTAATGTACCCACAATTTTAGCAAACTTCTGCCCAGTATTGAAATTGGCCTAGGGCTTGTATTGAAGAGCAGTTGGTAAGAGTGTAAAAAGTGTGCTTTGCCCTAACTGGGACTGGGAATTTGGTCAGAAGCCAGGGTGCAGAAAGTGGATGAATAACTCATTAACTGAAGATCATCTGGGCTGCATCAGCAGCAAAATTGTACATCTTCAGATGATCTTGCCAACACATTTGGATTAAAATAATTGCATTTTAGATGATTGCAAATTTTCATTGACCCAAATCAATACCACTTCTTTAACAATTAGCACTGGCTAATTATTAATTAGCACCCCCCCCCCATTATATTTAATTAGCACCCCCTGCCATCCGCAGTCAAGTGTGGAGCGCTCCAGCTGTTTTGAAGCATCTTAATGAGTAAGCACTAACTACAGTTCCACCATGAGTCACCAGTGCCTGCTCTGTTTAATAATATCTGGTCTTAGGCTGGTTGGATATGAGGCTGCAAAGCACAATCCACAATTTGGTAATTTTTGTTTCAATGCAATTGTGTCCTGCAATACCTGGGATGTGAAAAATACACTCGGTGAAGTTTTTGTCAGAATATCTATTTTTTAGTGGAATTTTATGTCACAAATTTGGTCTTTTCATCCTAATTTTAGGAATGTGCTTAAATTGAACCTATCAAATGTTGCTCTTACAGGCATCTTTTTGCAATGAATATGTAGTTATAACCAAGAGTTTAAAATTCTTAATTGTTATTTATTACTATAATTTTGAATCCACAAGCACTGGGGGTAAATTTTATATACCATTCTAACAACAACTGAACTTTCATGCCATTTTTTAGAGCCACAAGCTTCTTGCTAGATTAATTATTTCTCATATATGTAATTGTCAATAAAACTACACAATTAGGTTGCATGATTGAAAATACATGAATAATTGGTTGCTTTGCAGCCACAAGATTTCATTCATGAGTTGAAAAATTACCATGTAGCAAAGCCCAAGTGACATATTTTCAATAATATTTGTTTACAATTTAATTTTACATTAATTATGAGATATTTAAAGACCAGTGGGTAAGCAAAATGTTTGATTGCTGTATGTTTTAATGCTAGGTATTGCATTGGTAAAAGCTATTTAGATATTTGCTAAGACAGTTGCACAGAGCAAGTGGCACTGTGGCCAACCAAAACTGAACACATGTATGGTCACTAATACGCACACATGCAAAGCTTTGTAGCATGGGTAAAAATAGACTTGGTAAAAATTTGGCAATGTTTTATCTTGGACGTTCTAGGCTTGGATGGGTACCGTGTAACTCATACTGTAGTATGCAACAGAATCAAATCCCTGCAGTAATCCTGATGGCCATAGAAACTCTATATTCTCGGGATAGCCATAGACACTTGGGAAGAAAATACTTATATATGTAGGTACTCAAAATGTTCAATAACAATCTGAAATTATTCCTTATGCTTTTTAATACAGCAGGTGCCATATTTTTTTATGAGCCATCATGCAAAATTGCACCATATCTTGGCTATCTCTGAAAGGTCATGGAATATTGGTTTATTTTCTTAGTTTGAACTTTAAAACTGATGTTCATTTTTATTTTGGTTAATACGGACGTTTGTGTTTTCTCGCCCGCCAGCTATAATCAAACCTTTTTAATGCATTTTCTCATTTATGGAGAAAATGCACTATTGTGCTCGCCATGTCCGTCTGTCTGTCTGTCCGTCCGTGACCTCAAGTTTTCGTCGACAAGAAAATGCGCTCTCTGTCACTCACTGCAGTGAGTACGGAGTTATATTTTTTTG